CAAAAACACACACACACACACACACACACACACACACACACACACACACACAGAGAGAGAGAGAGAGAGAGAGAGAGAGAGAGAGAGAGATAAAGACAGAGAGAATATGAATTACATTAATTGATTTGAGTAGACTTGTATTACAGTCTAAGCTCCATCATTTCAGCATGCTAAGAAATCCAACACTAATGTTTTTAGTCCATTTTTGACTTTAAATAAAATTAATTGAAATCTGTTTTGGGGAGTTTAGAGAAATATTAAAACTAAGAACATATGTTAAAAGTAGTTAATACAATTTTTGGTACTTAAACTTGAAAAACCAGTGCTGCTATTTCATGTGGGCAACTGTTTCAGTAGATAGCCCATTGAACACACTGTGTCCCTTTTGTCCTCAAACTTTAGAAGTAAGGAAAGTCTTTCTTCTCTCTGGATCTTTGCCTTGCTAACCACTCACTGTAATTTACTTTTCCTTGGATCTTTCAATGGCTTTCTCATTTCCACCCTTCAAGCATCTCCTTAGAACCTGCCTCTTCCCAAGGACTGACCCTATGCACATTAACCCTCCACCCATACATACCCCAGGCACAATCCCTAGGCACCTTCTTTATTTATATATTTGCTATCTCCTTTGAAATGGGAGCACCACCAAAAAAACCAGAATTACCTTCCTTATTGATGTTATGTCTAACACAGGTCTATCTGAATTAAGTATATAAATTAGGGGAAATGAAGGAGGGGGGAAGAAAAGAAACAAGGCAATGGAAGGTAATGTAAAATAAAAATTGATAAAAGGTAACAAACAATGGCCCAAAGAATAGTTTGTACTCTGAGCATTGGTATTTATTATACCCAACTTGTAAAGAGTATTTTACAGTTGGATAAGAATACTATGGCACTCATTCTCTCCTCTCTTCTCCTTCTTCTCCTTTTCCTTTTCTGTGTGTGTGTGTGTGTGTGTGTTTGTGTGTGTGTGTGTGTGTGCACTTGACAAAGCAAGCAGAAAGTAATTCTTACCAGGCACCAGTATCTTTCAATAGTCACTAGACTGTATTGAAAGGTCTAGATTCTAAATACCTTCAGTTGTGTATGTATTATGCTCCTGTTATGCATTGTGTCATGGTAAATGTCATAGACAAGGATAAGTAATCACCAGGCTATGTTCCAATAAAGCTTTGTTTAAAGACACTGAAATTTTGATTTCATGCAGTTTTATGTAGTATTATTCTGCTTTGATTTTGTTCAACCAAATAAAAATATAAAGACCATTGCAGTTCATGGTCCTGTGAAAACAGGTAGCTGGCTGAATCTGGCCAATTCTCCTGACTCCTGGACTAGCTTCATGGTCATCTAGTGGAAAAAATGTTTGCCATTTTCAATATGAACTGGCACAGGGAAGTAGGAAATAAGTCTTTCACGTCTACAACAGATAACATTTCTGTTGGTAGAATTTAGGGTAATTTGACAGAGGGAAGGAACGTCTAATGTCATATAATCAAACCTTCCTAGTGTACAATCAAATCACTCAGCGTCTTGGATGTTCTGTTATCCATGGTAAACTTGAGAGTCTGAGTAGCCTGCATGGTAATGAGACTGCCCATGGGTGGCTGCTGAAAAGCCATAATTCTACTCATCCTCTTTCTTGTTAGACTTGGGAAATGAACATCCCTTTCTTCCAGTACAGTTTTGTGAAATCAAGACTTGGGCACATTAAGCTAACTCCCTGTGTTCTTTATCACCCTGGAGGGGACAATGTTTGGAATTTCAAGTGATGATTTCTCTAGACTTTGTGGTTTTAAGTTGAATAAGGATGTATCTGGGGAACCATTTCAAGACAGTGCATGATATCATTTTTCTCTAAATGCAAAAATTCAAAAATTAGTTGGAAAGTATGGTCTGTATTCATGTTGTTTTTATAGCTATACTATTTTGAGCATCCCAATAACTAAGATAAGAGAGCTTTCCAACTTTTTGGTAACTCACATCTCTCTTAAACAGCCGAATCTGCTATTTAAACTTCCACCTTGGGAAGAAGCTAGTCAGTCTGCAGTGAAATCTCAGAATGCAACTCAATTTGAAGATAAAGCAGTTAAGTATGTCATAGATAGGAATATTTAGGATATGTAAATTGAATAGCCAAAAAATGCATTTGCTTTATTTTAGGGCATACAAAATATTCCAGCCTTCAGGTATGCTTCCCATGGGGACATGTAAACAAATCATTCACTTGTGTTTTTCCTCTATATCATTAGATATAAAGAATAACTTCCTATTGGCTGCCTAAGGGCAGGGAATCTGAGGTTAATCTTGCATTCTTTAACCACCTTTCTTTCATATCTGCCTGTGTGTATTAGGAAATGCCAATTAATAATAGTAATTATTAAAAGACATTACTTTTAATTAAAGTCAAACCGAATAGGAAGAAAAAAATGTAACATAAAGTCAGCCAAATAGATTGTTTTAAAACTTCCAGCTCAAGTCTCCATTTCCCTGAGCTCTAGCCCCCTCCGTCATGTAACACACAGGAACACACAGGAGAAATGTGGAAATTAACTGTGTGTAATTGTCTGATGGTTTCCCTGCAGAGGGTTGAGTAAATGACTCTGTGCGTAAATTGGGATGCGGATTATTGGAATTGCACAGAGATGAGCCATTTACTCACCAAGTGGACTGTGTGGCTATGCCATTTAAAATTCAACTGACACACAGGACAGGTAAGGATAAGGCTACAAATTCAGTGCTCAGGAGGAAGGGGCTTGGGCCAAAGGATCCTATGCTTATACAGGTATTTTTGTGATAATTTTCTCCCAAGAAGCCCATTTCTACCTGAAAATACAAGTCCACCCTATATTTCTTACACATTTCTCCATGACACAGCCCTGCTCATAAGCCATGGCATAGTCACCATGCAGTATGACCTGCTCAGGCTTCAGAGCAGTTTTGCAAATGTGTGGCTAACCTCACAGCTGGAGACCTGTACTCTATTTTTTTTTTAAATTGTAAATCTTTGCTAAAACTATGGTGTGTTGATTTCTGAGTTGCTGGCTTTCTTCCTCCACTACCCAACTGCTGCTCTTACATATCTCTCTGGGAATAGTCAATCTTAGAAATCCTATCAGCTGTCATTTACACCACCATAGGCAATATTTTATCTGCTGATAATTTTCACTTGTGCTGTATCCCAGATGCCACACAATGAACAAAATGCCTTTGTTTCCCACTAGTAGCCATTTCAGTGTGGAATTGAGAACTCCCAGGAGAACGATAATTCCACCTTCCACCTTCATTTTTTTCTTTAAGATACATTTTTTAGACACATACCTATGTACCCCATTACTTTGTATCTTAAAAGAGCAATCTTGAAATGATCCTTGATTTTAAAAGTCTCTGCTTCTTGATTCTGAAATAGTGAAGAAACTTAATTTTAGTACCAATTTCATAGAATTAAGTACAAGCATTTATAGCATTTTGAAGCAACCCCCTGTTCCCCCCACATACATACATACTCCTTTCTGGCTGTTTTTTTTTTCCAGTCTGAAATCTAGAGACAAATCTACAAAGCTTCGTTCACCCACCCAATTCCATAAACCATCATTCAGGCCTTTCTGCATTTCCCTTAACAGTAGTTACAAAATTGTATCCCATCCTTGTGAGACTACAATGCCATCCTCTCCTAACAGCCAGCTGACTTGTCATGATCAGTAAGGACATGGTAATAAGCAAAAACACAAACCTAAGTGCTAATATGAAAGCAAAGCAGAACAAGGTACAGAAAGCCAGCTGCAGGCTCATAGGCATCACAGGCAACAGTAATACCCTACCTGAGAGACTGTACTGGAAAAGGGGGAGAGACACTTTGCATATGCTTTTAAATCTGTGATTATCTCTGCATCTCAGTCACTTGCCACACCAGGCCAGAAGACAAAGAGTATTATTAGACACTATGTCTAGGGCAGGACTTGACATGTCACTTTGAACTTGCTTCTTTTGGTAAGTCTCTTTGGTCATTTAGTGACACGATTTTAAGATAAAACCTTCACTTGTGTTGTTTTCGTTTCTTTCATTAGTTCTGATTTGTTGTTTTGGACCCTGAAGTAGGTTAGTTTGGAGAAAAGCACATAAGTAGCTAATGAAATAACAAATGTACTCACAGTATCAAGTGTGATGAGTTAACATTAAGCTCTTAGTATCTCTTAATGGGCAAATTGAACATTGGATGATTGGCACACCAGTGCAGACTTCTCTAATACCTTTCATCCTCAAGACAGTCTAGGATAACTTGGTTTGACTATTGAAAGGGAACATGCAATTTCATGTGTAGATAATAATTGCATGTGTATAGTATATTCAGAACCAATTTATACTATATTGTAATTTTTTGATGTTGCTGTGTTGAGATTGTGTTTTTTAACCTTTGTTTTATTTGAGTTTATTTGAAATCCCTCTAGGAAATGCTTATCTTGTTGATGATAATCAATAAAAGCTTTGTTCTTCCTTTCTTTGTACTATCTTGATATTTGGGAAAGAATGTGAGGTTATTTTTACTTTTTTAGTTATTAAACTATGATTAACTATTAAATGTAACTATTTGCTATGAGGAAATGCCTAGAAGGAAAGTAAATATATATACATATTTATCTTGCATTTTGTTCCATACACACATCCTTTGTTAAAGCCATAGCAGGTACAGCATGACCATCCACTAGATATAGTTGACATTGGGCCTGGTGAAATGGCTCAGTTGGTAATGTGCCTACTGTGCAAGCATCAGACCTGATTTTCATCCCCTCTTACACAATTGGACATTTTAGTATATGAGCATAGTCAAAGTGATAGGGAGCTCGAGAGAGGAGCATCCTTCAGGTGCGCTGGCTAGTTTATTTAGTCAAATGATTGAGACTCAGTGAGAGACCGTATCTCAAAAAACTAATGTGGAATGTGACTGAGGAATATGCCCAACATTGACTCCTGCTGTCTACATGCAGACACAAGGGCAAGAGGAGAACTGTGTAGTGGTAGTTGGGGTGAAGCTGAGAATCCTCACTGTGGGATTTTCTTTTTGAAAACTATATATCCATCATGATCTCTCTGTTCCAAAGAGGATTACAAAATTATTTTACTTATAGAGCTTTGACTTGGAAAAGACAGATTCATCTTATGTTTGACACCAGTATTATTTTTCTCCTATGTTCATGATACTTTTAAAGCCCTTCTCTGAAAATGCTACCTGATTGTGATGTGGGCACTAGAGTTCTCCAACTGTCCTTACTACTGCAAAAATAATTCTTAGTATTTTAATCTGCAAGCCTCTAATTCATCTCTTAAATGTGATAGCTAATTCACTATGTCTAATTGATTGGTTCAGCTGATTCAAGTGAGCTGTTAGTGATTTGCCATTCAGACACCAGTGATCCATTTCATGCTCATTTCCAACCTGGCCGACAGTCCTTTCCCATCTGCAGTGATGTTAATGAATTTGCCTTGCTTCATTCCTGAATTCTAATGCACACTCCATTGTGACCATCAGTAAATGAATATTTATGGTTCACGGCACAGTATTCACCTCATCCTAAAAAGTTAAAATACATTTTAACAGTATGCTTGCTGTAAGCCTCCACCCAAATATAGCTCTGTCTACATGGCCTGTCAAGCCCAGAATAAATTAGAACCCAATGTCTAGCTGCATTATTCTCACTAAACTGTTTATGATGGTCACGTGTGGGAATAGCTGTTAGCCCGCACATTTAAGCCACTAACTGTCCAGCTCTGTGGCAATGCTGTATCTATTAAAATCCTTATTTGTTTCCACTGCAGATATTTCTTAAACTTTGTCTTATAATTAAAGAATGGTAGAAAAATGAATTATCTAATCACCAAAAAGCCCTAATGATAACACAATAGACTTTATCCTCCTTAAACTTTGTTTCTTCAAAATATCTGAAGGAACTTTTCCCATTGATTTCTTTTTTGATTTTGTTGTTTAATCTTATGTTTCCCCCAGAGATTACTATTTTTGCCTCTGCATTAGTCTTAATTGTTTCTTTCCTCCTCACTCCTGGTGTTAGTTATCCAGAAATGTTTCCTAAAGGAGAAGTAGATTTGTTTAATATAATTTATTTGCATACTATCCCTACATTTTATTTTAGATGTTTTGATATGAAGTAAAAGAACTTGAGGTCCTTAGATCTTATTGGAGAGCCTGCCATTGTCTTAAAAGCCCATACAAAATTATGTGTATAAGTGAAATATATGCAATGTTCACTTTTCTTAGAAGAATTATTTTCAACAGATACTTAAATCTATGACTGTAAATATAAAGTCACTAATCCATCACCTAAAATAATTTGGTTACCATGACAGTATCTTCATTACTGTGGAGGTTGTTGTCCTTCTCTGAGTCTTCAACCTGTAACTACCCCTTTAATGTTACTATGCTTTTCAGGGTTTAGACTTAAAAATAAGGATTTTAAAGTCTGTTGAGCATATAGCTGGCACTTGAAGGTAAAATCTATGGAAACAAACTTTGGCAATTCAAAAAAAAATAAAAAAAAGAACACTAACTCACCAGTGAAGGTCTTAGTAAGGCAATTAGTTGCATCTGTGGTCAGTTATGGTTCTCTACATCCATAAGTTTTTAAATCACGTTAATTAAAAGATAAGGAGTTGTTTTGTCTTACTTATGTCCTACAATTGAGACTTTACAACTATGTGGTTTAGAACATGCTCACTAATGGGTGCAATGCCTAGACTCTTATTAGCTGCTCTTGTTGTTGTTTGACAACTTGTATTAATAGAGTTTATGTTAATAGAGTTTATTTTCTCATTTAAAAATCCCACTTGCATTTTACTTATTTTGGGGTGAGTGGGGTCACCCCCCTAAATGTCCAAGGATAACACGTAGGAATTGACTGTCTCATTCTACCTTGTGTTTCCTAGAGATTGAACTCAGATGATCAGGCTTATTGGCATGCACTACCCATAAGCCACCTCACAGGATCCTCCTGGCTCTTGTTTGTTTGTTTGTTTTGCATTCATTTTCTATAGCATTCCTGATTTCATTACCACTTGGGAAGAAAGTAGACTGTAGACAAGTCTACTTGTAGACAAGAAACTAGACTGTAGGCATTAGTAAGCCATGGTAGAAGTAGTGTTCTGTGGCCTTTATGTTTTGTTTTCAGCGGACGGTATCATTTGACTGTTTGAATCCATAGTTGTATAGATTAGGCTCATGTTTACAAGTCACACAAATATTTAGATAGAATCCAGACATATATCATAAATCAGATTATCTTTACCATAAGTGTGATAAGGATGAAAACAGATGGATAGAATTCAGACATAGCATGAAATAGAATATCTTGGCAATAAGTGCGATAAAATTTAAAGCAGATGGAAATTGCTCTTCTGTTTTGACATTATATGAATCTGCTTATTTCAAGCCAGTTATGTGTGCTTTCTTGCAATATAGTAACCTTAAATATTATCAGCCCACAGAGCATGGCATGGGGGAAACATCAAGTCCATGTAAGGGTTGGAGATATTTTGATTCCTTACACAGTGGTTCATATAAAGAGGCCATGGCTTCTGTCTGCTCAGTCTTCACAGGACAGTGAGGGTTTCCTGAATGGTGATGCTCCAGGTTTGCTGTGAATAAGAAGTCCAGTTGCAACAGAGTAGAAACCATTTGAGGTGCCATAGGCATTTGTGATAGCACTCAGACATGACACTCCATTAGTCACCATGGAATACTGATTTATGAAAATCATGGTGGCAAGGAGAAGTCCTACCAAGTTTGCCGATAAAATGTAGTTAAACAAATTATGTTGCTCAGCAGTCAGCTTTGGGTTGCTTCCCATAATGTATGGTGTTAATATGCTAACTTGTGCCCTCATAGCCAAATGTTTGCAGGCTGCTCAACTCAGTTTCTCAGTGTGAAGACTGGGGGTCTACTTATAGAACTCCCCAGGTAAAAGCCCTCAGTTTCTGGTGAGACTAAAAGATAGTGAGTGATTCTAATTACCAGGAAAAGAATCCATGTTCTATAGATTTCCTCCAGATGCCAGAAGAGCAACCAACAACACATAGCCTTGGCCCCCTGGAAAATCTGACATTCCATCTTGATTTTCATACTTCACTTCCTCTCAAATCCAGTTTTTAAACTTGGCGAATATGTCCAGTTTCCACCTTTTACCTCTAGTAAGAGTTACAATTATGGTTGCTGAGTTCAAAACTATTTTTTTCTTAATCATTTGGTTTGTTAAGTGATGTTGTTGTCTAGGACTCCTTTAAAACCAGTATTTCTATAAACTAGATTGTATAGTTATAGTAACTATATAGCAAGGCCCTGGGCTATATAGGAATCTTTCTCATTCAGTATTTTGTTTATGACTTTTAACTGTCGAAGTTACATGTAAATTTTACTAGATCACACACTTGGATGTTTACCTAATGAGGCTAGTAGATGTGCTAGTGTCTTTTGCCTGCTACTGCTACCACCCAGCTGTGATTCTTGTATTCACATTTATCTACCACTTCCATATCCTTAAGGGGATAATTTTAACAGTACAGCAGTAATAAGAGCTATTCCTCTCAGTAACTGCATCTGAATTCATCACATATTCTATTAAATTAAGCCCCAAGACCCTATCCATCAGTAGGTGCAATAAGAAGAGGTATTGCGTTTCTTTCCTGCCTCTTTTTCTGTTGCTGAAATCATCTGAGTAAGGAGTTTTCAGTTTTTTATTTGTAAAATAATATTTGCAATAGCCGATAGACAGAAAAACCAGCAAACGATGTCAGCTGACAGCTTTCTTTTAGTAATTCTGTATTCTGCTTCATTTGCAGGACCGTGTAAATGCATTAGAAACGGTAAGTGGGGGCATTTTCCTTCTTGTATCAGAGTTACTGCTCTCTGATGTGGATTTCAGAGCCCACCAGAGGAAGCAGTTGCAGATCGTATTTCTAGAACTTCCGCTAAGATTCAAAGTGGGGATGGCGCTAAACTGTGTCTAAAAGGTATGTGTATGTAGACTGTTCTGGTGAAACCTTTCAAAATGAAAGCGTGAATGTGTTGAAAGAACTTCTGCTGTCTCAGGGCGGATATGCCAAGATGTGCTGCTCTGGGGAAAACAAGACTAGTACAAATATGACCCAAGCCTTACCTGGTTTTTCTTCATTTCACCATCACTGCAAGAGTTGTCTGGCAAGCATTTCGAATTCCAAGTTTTTAACATATTGTTTTCAATATTCACCATTATTCATAAAAGGATAAAACCCTGTCAGGCTTTTTCTGACAATCTTACTTCAAGAAATCTAGTATTGGGGAACAATTTTAAGTACAGTTTTAGTTTACAACTAAAATGATTAATTTTAAAATATAAGAGAGAAACCAACATGTCTATAGTAAACATGAGGGACAGTACTGTGTAACCCACCATGCTGTGGTCATCATGGAAGAAGCTTATGTGAGAATTTCAATTGAAAAACTCATCCAGGAAACAAACTCCTGTGTACTTCAATGATGCCTTACATACCTAAGAAACATAAGCGTGAGAAAACCCACAATAGACACTTGTTAGATAAGAACTGTGTTTTGTGATTGCTGTTTGCTTTTCCAGGTTTAGAAAATAGGGCTGTTTTACTTTGATAAACATTTCTTCACAGTAGCCATGTGAATCAGAAAAACAGGGCTGGGTATGTAAGGTCAGTGGTCAAGTCCTTTGCCTGGTACGTTCAAGACCCTGGGTTCAGTCTCCAGTGACACATTAACTAAGGGGAAATTAGAAAAACAGTAGAATAAATTATAGTACTACTTTATGGCAAAATATTATGTAGCAATAAAAAGACATATTTGAAGAAGTAAAGATTGCCGTGCTGTTTTATGTAGGGAAAAGTGTAGCAGTGTATTAAACTTTGATGCAAATACTGGATATGCATATTTTTGCATTAAACAGTCATTAAGAAACTACATAAAATAGTAACAGTATCTTGGGAACAGTGGTGATTTTTCTTTTGGTAAATTTTTAATGTACAGGAAGGAATAAACCCCTTTTAAGCCAATAAGCTAACAAGTAAAGTCTCTATGTGAAGTTTAAGAAATAGAAATAAATAGGCCTGTTTTTATAAAGTGACACTGCCCAGACTCAGTCACTTCCTCCTTTGATTTAACTGGGCCTTTCAAAAAGTTCACTCACCTTCCGCCTTTCAGTGTGACAGCATTAAGGGACTATAGTGTCCCTTTAATCCTGCACATTTTTACTGAGTTTTAGGAGTATCTTGACAATAAGCTTATGACTTCAAAGTTCTCTTCAAAAATATGAGCAGGATAGCAATGTGTGTCTTTTTAGACAGAGAGCATAAAATACCATTTATACACATCTAGAAAAGTGTGTCTTCTTGACTCTCCATCTGTAAAATGGCTAAAATTACAATAATTTTAGCAAGTCTTGATACCAGAGAAGAAAAAACCGTGAAAAAAATATTAAAGCCCAGTGTTGGCTTGCTATTACTGTTGTGATCATGTGTCATTTTTTATTTAAAAATCAGAGTTTCATCAATGTGATGTCCAAAACCACAAGTTACATCAGTGCAAAGTTGTTCTCATTTCTTTGTATTTGTTGGTCTTATTCTATGCCTAACATTTTTCCTAATGAAGTATCATGCAGTATATTCTTAAAGGCCTTTCAGAGGGCTCCCCTGGAACCAAAGGTAAAAATTAAAAGTCATCATGAGAAAAATAAAAATGATTAAATGGACTGGGGTTGGTACAGTAACAGTTTTCTCAAAAATAATTATCACAAGTAAAACTATAAAAATTAAAATGCTTGGTGATAATGTTCATGCTCAAATATCATGAAGTCCTTTGACTTCACATGGTGTTAGAAGAAGCGGAATTTAATTCACTCGATAGGCTCTTCACCTGGTAAAGCATTTTATAGTTCATAGAATCCAATATGCTGAAAGCAATCCGAATCATTGATCACCCTCTCATAATTCAAAAGGTGCATATTGGTGTCCCACACGTGGCTAGGGCTCTGAAGGTCACAGAAGGAATCACATGCAGGGTGTGTGCTGCTCGGGGAGCAGATGTCACTTTACATTTCATCTTTCCTTTAGGGGTACTAATGATTGATTATTTTAAGTGTTCATGTAGTTATAATACCCAAAAGCAGGGTGTTTCTTTATCATCCCGTGACGTCACTTGACATGTGCAACCTTGATCTCTATGCTCATGTATCCACTCTCCTTCAAACTTCCCCTCTCTTTTTCACTATCAGACAAACCCTTGGATTTCAAATTATCCTTCATTTGTAAATGAATCCCTCAGATCTGTCAAAAACTTCATATACATGGTGGACATTCAGTACACATGCATTGAATGAAATATTTGAACTCTTATGTATCCTACCCTTATATAAGACTGTACACAGCAAAACAAGTATAAACATTATCAGTCCAGTAGTTGAGGGGAAATTTTCCCAGAGGTACATTAATTTCTGGGTCTTACCAGATAGTACCATACACTATTTGGTGTTTTCCTGAGCACGAACCAGTTTCCTTGTTTGAGTTTTCCTGCAAAGGAAACCCCCTCAGCCAAAATATGGTAAGTTGATCTCCCAAATAAAAATAAGTGATTACCTGAAGAAAATTCCACACTAAAAGCCCCAGCTCATAGACAGTGGTAATAAGAGACGTTTGTGTTTTCTGGGCACTTCAAAGTACTGTGTTGACTGAAGGCGGAAAAAAGGAGAACCAGTTGTGATCAGTTCCCAGGTTTCGGAGAGATGTCACTTACACAGAAGTGAGTTACTGCTGTGAGGTAAATGGATGGCTCACAGCGCTTGAGTGGGAGAGACAATACACATTGCAGCAGCTGTTATAAAGGAAAGATTGGGAGGATACTTTAGAGCAGCATTGTGCCTGGGCACATCATAAAAATTACAGGTTTGGTGGTTGGAAGACATGATGAGGAGGAGAGAATTATCTGTGAAATATGAAGGGTTTGGGAGTGTCATGCAGAAAGAGCCAAAGGAGGCCTTCCAGACTGAGGATGTAAGCGAGATGAGCATAGGGTCTGTCAAGCTAATACTTTTAAGACTGTTGATATCATGATTCTTGTGTAATTATAATATGAGCTTCTGGGAAATACGCTAATGTAACTGCTTAATGATGGCACAAACAGGATATTATTATTGATTCAAGGAACAATGAACTGCAAAGAGAGAGAGGAGAGGGGGAAAGAAGGAACAAGGAGGGAAAGGGTGAAGGAGTCCTGAAGTGATTTGGCTTCTTGCATAGTAGAAAGTTAAATCAACTGAGACTAGACAACATTATTCATCTGTAAACAGGAATCATTTGCTGTTGGTTGTCTATAGCCTAGAATTACACAGACTCACCAGCAATGCCAGGTGGAGGCCAGGTGTAGCAATCTAGAAGAGTCAGAAAACCTAGAAGGGTGTGCTCAGCAAAAACGACTGAACTGTCTGGCTTTTGTTTTCCTTCAAAGCCTTCCCTGTATTCTTGGGGAAGATTCTCTTCAGCCTTCCACATGGGTGACAGTTTACAGTGATAATACTTAACAGTCTAGGATTGTGAAGTGCCAACCAAAGAGGTGCATATGGCTTCCTTTTGACAACTGGTTTCTATTGGTTAGCAGTGGATACTGAGACATCCTTGAAGGAATTTTAGCTTTTCCTTGGGGATGAATGTTGGGAGCCATGGAGCTATAAACTTTTTTTTTTATTCCATAGAGAGCTGTTAATGGCTTTTATGCCTTTGCCTGTGGTTTGAAATGCCATATACAGACATAGGGTGTAGTCACCCTTCCCCTGACAGAGTGCTGTGGTGAGAGAGAGACTGTAAATAAAGATAGGAAGGGGACACCTTGGATGAAAACAAACTTTGGAAATGTACTTGAAAAAATGAAGGGTTGGAGCTCTCAATGGTGTCACTGTTCTGACAAAGGATGAATACTCTCTGTGAGTGGAAGTCAAGGCCAAATGGAAACTAGAGAAACTAGTGAGGAAGAAAGGAAGTGAAAGAGAATTTACAGTAATTCAACTTGGATCATAATCCATTTTCCACATATTTTACAAATCTCCCTTAATTATTTTTATCAATACCTTGATACTTTAGATTCTCATATTCTGTCATTAAAACTTGGCATGACTGTAATAGCCCAGACCTTCTCAGATAATAGTAGGGGTTGATTAAGATAAAATTCATTTCTAGTAGCAACTCAAGCTAAATGAGTACAGAAGGATAGTAACAGCCTAATCTTGGAACCATGGCTCGTCTTTTTGCTTTGCCTGCCCCTGTGTGCTCCCACTTGGTCTATCTGTGGTCATTATGACTGCATTATAGCTAGTAAAAGGAAAATAAAGAGACAAAAGAATGTAAAGTTCATTTAATGATATTTGGTGTATCACTGTTGTATACACATGTCTGCCCATATCCCTGGGACAGAATGTAATGGCACAGCCATACATAGCTCCATAGTTAAAAAAACATAACTGTTCAAACAAAAGACATTTGGAAATTTCAAAGCAAACTTCCAAACAGCCACCAATCTAAAACGTAAATTGTAGTGGGGATTGTAAAATGTATAGAATGGAATAATAATGATGTGTTTAAGTGTGCCAGATTAGCAGAAATGATGCTTAGTGAGAAATTTAAGTACTTACATGCTTACACATAAAAGATGGGATGAAAATTCAAATTAAGATGAAGAAGATAATAAATGTAGAGCAATCAAAGAAAAAAGTAAGGGAAGGACTACAAATCAATGAACTGGAAAGAAGTAATTGTGCAGTCGGGCTGGCAAAGTGATGTTGGTGACTTGACCTGCAAATTTGTTTTGACGAGCTGGC